ATGTACACAAGAAAACATTACGATTCCTTGACAAAAAAAAGTAGTGTTCATAATCTTAACACAAGAAATAAAGATAAACTTGCCGTTCCAAGCTTCAGACTTCAAAAAACCAGAGGATCATTTCTGGGTAAATGTATTGCTATGTTCAATAAAGTTCCACAAAATGTAATTGACCTACCCATAAATAAATTTCAAATTCATGTATAGAATATACTTATGAGTAAAGGCTATTATAAAGTTGATGATTACTTTAAGGATCGCAATGCATGGAATTAATAGCCTTCGCTTTGTTCTATAAAGACTAATTATATGTTCAACTTATGTCCTACAGACTTTGAAAGTTGTATTTACTATTGTGATAAATTGATAATACATATTATTTTGGTAATGACATGATTTATGTAAATGTCATTACTTATGATAAAAAGCTGATAAGTTCCTTTCGCTTGTTCTTCTTGTCAGCTAAAAGACGTCCTGAACAAGTGGTAGGGGAAAAAAGTTTTTTTTGGACGATTCAAAAGTGCTTGTAACAGCCTACTTGAATAAAGATATTTTCATTTCAAAGATATTTTCATTTCATTTCATTTCAGATAGACATATGCTGCCGTGGACTATTTTTTAGAACTTTTAAAGAAGATCAATTTCGTAATACCTACATGATATTTGCGTAACTTTCACTGTTTACGTAGCGCACGCATGTAAAGCTATAAAAAAGTAAAATATTCTTCCGTTTTTGTAACATTTTTATCCTATAAGTCATAGCGTGATCTTATATAGCCTGTAGCCTTCCCCGACATGTGGACTATTCAAAACAAAAACAATACCATTCTTAGTCTGATTAGTCTGATCAAAATTGAATTTCACCTTCAGCCTTCTGATATATCATCATCATCATCATTAGCTTATTAATATCCCCGCTGGTAGAGCGCAAGCTATCCCTGCGGACGGATTCGATTAGGGAAAATGGAACATGATAACCACCACACCACACGGGGTCAGTGCGGATTGGTGGCTGTTAAGACGTGTGATTGATCACACATCTAATTGAAGTTAACTAATCCAACAATTATTCTTTTAAAATATTAGGACTGTTTTATTTTAAACTTTTATTTATTTGGAAGAAATACCGTAGAAACTTCCACTTTTCCAAATTATGGTATTACTGGCATATGAATAAAATACTAATAAACCAGGATTTGATTTACTCTGTCCCACTTAGAGATAACTAGCAGGGCTATATAAAAAAAATGCAGTTTTGTTAATTGGTTTCAGAAATATGCGCATAGCATTGGATTTTTGTCTATAGAGAAACACCCAAAGTATAATGACCTATTAATAAAACGGTTCCGTTAAGTTTAATATATGTATTATTATCGATAAATCAGTAAAGGCTCACGAACCATCGGCACACACACACAGACACACCGGCACCAGACCGAGCAATAATGAAAGTGGAATGGCGCCTGGAGCGGATCAATGAGGCTGCGGTCGCGTCGTGTTTGTTCCAAAATATCGCAAATTGCAAAACATAAGGCTCTTAATCCTTATATTACATAAACAGTTGGGCAACATTGTCCAAATATAAACGAAAAAGTCGCATGCCGAGCGGCCGCAGCCGGGGCGGCTCATCGGCGCGGCGACCGGTGAAATTACAATATGTCTTACATAACCAAACAAAGATCGCCTCTTCAAGGATATGTCCACGCGAGCGAACTCGAGTGCCCATGTCACATCTACTCCACGGACAGTGAAAAAGTCTGTATAAGAAAATCGGTTAATTTCACTTTTACCTCGGTAAGGTAATAAATAGGCCATTGCGTTGAGAATTCTTTATTTATCGCAAAAGACGTTCTGAAAGGGTGGAAGGTAAAATATGTTGGACGATTAATAAGGATAAAGATTATTTTGACTGACCTACTGACATTTGTAAGGTACAGAAAGTTTTTTTTTTATTATATAAGACAATACAAAATCTGTTCAACATCTGTGATGAGAATTTCCTATTAGTTGTTTTTCTCGTGTAAAGTATCATTTGACCTTATGAAGATAAGGCCCACTGTGCATACTGCGCCTGACATAGTTGGGAAATGTCATGGAAAAACATGTTTTGAATAGCTTTAAACACGCATTTTTAAAGACGATTCAACATAAATGTATGCTACTGAGGCATTTTGTTTCGGAACGGCTTTATTTAGCTTGACTTTAGTTTTCTCCAGTATTATCTTATTTTATCGGGGTAGCAATTCAAATCCCTGATGAACAGTATCGACTATAAATACACGACGGCTGTCGACGTTGCGAAATGTACTACATCATTGTTATTGTTTATAACCCACTCAATACTGGTATTCAATTATTACACAGTAACAATACTCGTACTAAAATTTCAAATAATTCCAATTGAGAACCAAAACAAAGCTTTTTCTAAATTCACACACTCGCTATTTAGTATCAATAATGTACAGAGACTGTGTGAGTTAGAAGAAGCTTGAATCCCCCGCCCACGGCAAAATTTCATAGCGTATCGAGAACCGTGGAAGTCATACTTACCTACTTAATTAAGGATGTGCAGTTAGGTTGGGTGTCTGTTATTATTATTGGTTTTAAAGGATACTTGTGGCACATTAATTGTATACTTAATCTGGCCATAAATACGGTTAGAATTAAAAATAAACAAATATTACTTTTGGATTACGAATCTATAATTTTTTTATGATGTTCATTGTTGTCTTGTAAAATTAAAATGGAGTCGGGTGATGAAGAGTACCGCATCGCTGTGATTGCATTACATAAAGCAGCTATGAAGCCAAACACAATTTTCGAAACCCTCCATACGCTTGGTATTAGTCAAATGTTTGTGTGCCGGACTATTGATAGGTACAATGAAGCCTCTGTTTGTGACAGAAATAGATCTGACCGTCCAAGTAGTGTTCGTCCGAAAAAGGCGATCAAAGCAGTAAGGGAAAGTATTCGAAGATATCTTATCCGAAAGCAAAAGATTTTATCTCGGGAGATGAAGATAGCACCTAGAACCAGGTCGTGTATTTAAAAGATGACTTAGAACTTACAGCGTATAATATTACATATATGGTAATTCCTTAACAGATAATTTAAAATATAATAGCATGGTTAAGTCAATACAACTACTCAAGCGGTACGCAGAGGAATTGAGCAATATTTTAACAAACAAAGTGACCGTATTTATGCTCAAAGCTTTAAAGAAGCTTAGCTTAGCTTACTTAGATCGTTTTAATTTTCTAACTTCGATTTTAGCGGGTACATACATAAAAGATTCACCGTGACGAACATAATATGTATTCAATTTCGTCCACTGACTATGAATATTTTCTGTAGAACCGTTCACGTTGTGTATTATTGTGAGATCTAAAGTTAACACGTATGATGTACTGTAAATGAAAACATCTAAATAACGTAAGTACAGGACAATTATGAACGTATATGTATAACGTAGTGATTTTTAAACATGCAACCTCCATTCTTAAAAAAGGCCTAAAAAACTACAGGTTTGTATGGACGGAAACTTCAACTCGGAAAGTCATCCTTTACCCGACTGCGCGACGCAAAGGATGGTATTGTGTTTATGAGTCTATGTATAAATGTTTGTTTCTATGTGGCGTTCTAGAGACCAAACGCGAAGGCCGATTTTGATGATTCTTACGTCAGTCGATTCCTCTTAATCATAATTCACCACAGCGACAACCAGACGCCATATTGTCAAAATGAAAAAAAAATAAATCGATGAACTATGTCAAGTGGGGTGTCGTTTAATAGGTATTTTAAAGTCACTTTTAGGTTCCTTTTATCATTTTTTATTTTAAATAATAGTTCAGGATATATAACGAATTAAAGTTGTTTAACAAAACAATCATTCTCGCTAATTTTCTTACTTTCCCTTTGGGAAGATTTGATTGGTAAAATTTTGGTGGGCACCGACTATGAGTCGTTCTGTTCTGCATTAGAATTTATGATTTGTTTTATGTGTGTATCGATTATAAAACTATTTTAGACTACTGGGCTTGTTTCTTTCTTTTTAGTTTTTATTTAAGTTAATTTTTTATGTATTTTTTAAAATTCGTTTTTACGTTGTCGGATTTTTTATTTTCTTTAAGTTTTTTTTTTTATATAATTATAGGTTTTCTGGTTACCTTTTACCATTACCATTATACCATTTACATACCTTATACCATTTACATTTAAGTAAATAAGCGTAAATCAGCCATCTCCAAAATTACTGAGCCACAATTATGAATAAAAGACGAATTAACAAAATTTTTTATTAGTCCAACTAAGACCAATTTCATAATAAACATGTTCTCGAGGCATTCTCGGGGCTGAACACGCACTCGATCACTAAACATTGTTCTGATACATCAAAAGGGTATCATTAAGATGTGGTCCCGTGCCCGCCGCGCGGTGGCGGCGCCGGCGCCGGCGCGGGCGGCCTCACGTTACAACGACATTACAACGAACGTTACATTACAACAACTCTGTGTAAAGGCACGAATAGGTATATTATACCAAAACGGTGCATGGCCCGAGGTTCGTTACGGAACATGCGAACAACTTATACAATTAAGTCCGCCAATAACCGGCTCTATAGTTCAAGTGTTGACCGACCTCGCCATAAGATAATTAAATGAAAATATTTCCATACTGATGGATCATTAATTTATAAAAAAAAAATGATATTTCACTATTTTCCGTTGAAAACAAAGAGGCTAAGAAGCTGTAGCCTTAATTTTGTGATATTACATATATGAGCCATACATATATGAGTATTCAAAGTGATATTGACCCGCATTTTAAGGCCATGAATATTAAACGCATACAAACATATAACATTATCCGGAGATAGTATGCAGCGATACGCTAGAGTCAACACTGTTCTTCCTCATTTCTCGAGCGTGCTACGATACACGTGTTGACAAAAAACGTAAACAAAACACGCCTACTATCACCCGACAAGGTCATTAACTAATCCCTTGTGCGCGTGGGGGACTCGAGGACGGGCGGGGGGCGGCGGGCGGCGGGCGGCGCGCGCGTCACTCGCGCACGCGTCTCGGCGCCGCCGCGCGTCGTCGTCGCCTTGATCTTGGTCGCGGCCGCACCGGGGGGCTGCCGCTCAGCGCCGGCCTATAATAGCTGGGCCGGCGCATCCCCCCGGCTCCAGACTGGTCCGCACCGCCGGCAGACATGTTCCGCACGCTGTGCCTGCTCGCCGCCGCCGTCGCTGCCGCATCATCCGCCGCCGCCGCCGCTACTGCCGCCTGCAAGCCCTGCAGTGAGTTCCTCACCAAACTGTGACGTGCAATGGTTCCATTAGGATAACTGCTTTCATCGAAGTGCAATATTATTTATTTAAAAGTTATCGTGGGTGGCCACACCAGTGAGTGCTCTTAAATTTGCATTTTTAATTTCACCGAAGAAACGGTAAGTATACGGATCACCCCGATTTCTTTTTATGATACGAAGGAAGTAGTTTCAATAGTAAGTAAATATTAACGAGTAGTAACTTCAAAATTGCGGTCACGTAGATGTATTTGAGGCGAATAGATTCAGGATAGCGATGTAGAGGCCAGATGATCCGGCTACGGTTATGTCACATAGCCAATAACTAGAAGTGTTTTTAGAGAGTGTCCCCGAGTGGCAGGTGATGCAGCGCGACCGCAACTATGTCAAGTGGCACCGGTTTATAATATATAATGCGGATTAATAACATCCGCTTGCCTTTTAAAGATTTCAAAAGTAAATAATATAAACACCATTGCATTCTTCACGGTGCTTATAAACCACTAAGAATATATCAGAATGATATGTGTCCATTTCAACAAAATTTAGTGTCCGGTGCCCGCGATAGAACTCGAATCCGTGACCCGTCGCAATCTGGGCAACGGCTGTAATCAATTAACTCGATATACTAGATTTTTCAAAATAATGGGCTGCTTTTAACTTTACCAAATGAAACATTGTCAACTACAGACGCACAGAATATGCAAGATATAGACGAAAGAGAGGAAATGAATGGAATCGCTAAACTAAGTTTGAAAAAAAGCCCAGGACCAGTGAGCGCTCTAACTCTTTTAACACAACAACTCTTTTAGTTTGGTGATGTAAACAGTCACTCCACTAAAACAATCGACTGAATCTGATATTATGTTAATACAAAAAAGGAGATCCGAATATTATAAATAACTACCGACGCATGAGCCCACTGTCTTGAATTTACAAATTATTCTCAACAATTTTAGAAAAGAGAATCGGAAACAATATTGTGAGGCACTGTCTCACTGGCTTTAACACTTATTTACATTCACTTAATGGTTATGCTCTTATAGAAATATCAAGAGTTTCACAGATCTATTTTTTGTTTATCGACTACCAAACAGCTTTCGACACTTTGTACCATCAATCAATATGGGATTCTCCAGAACTGCAAAATGTTGAAATGTTATATTTAAAGGTATTTCAAGCGAAATATGGAAAATGCAAGACTAGAACAGTATAACCAAAATAAAAAAGACCGGGTCCTAAATCATATCAATCAAAAGAGAAATAAGAGAAGGTAACGTCAGCTCTCCAACAATATTCATAGCAGTGCTACAATTAGTAATTGAACCACTCAATTGAGAAATTGGTTTAAATATAAAAAAATAACTATAGAGACAGAAGAATAATAAGCTGGAATTCGGTATGAGTACACGCTAAAAATATGAAAATTATAATCTTTAAAATAACTTCAAAAATGTTTCTGCTTTATATCCTTTCTTTAATTTATATAGATTTTTTTTTGGATTTTCGTTTACTTCACAGTTTTTTTACCGTGTAAATATTAAACTTAAATGCCTATAATCGCTATCAGTTGACCGATGAATAACAACACTAGTACAACAACATTGACGTTCAACAGAAACACTCTAGCTTAGCGACTTCCCAAACTTTTCGACGAGAGATTTCTTTTTCGAAATTAAACTTAGATATTTAACAGATAACGACTTTCATTCACCCAGACAGATTCTTTAAGCATGAGTAAACAATGTCATGTTTAGATTTTTTGACTGCGAAATTTATGAAAACACTTTTTTAGATGCGATGTTGATTCTTTGGAATGAATTAGCTTAGGCGAATGATAGTCAAATGTCAAGGCTGAGTACGCTTGACTATATTTACGATAAAAGAAAAACTGTAACAACAAAATAAATATAAAAACAGTTCGTTATGAGTTTTCCGAAAATGAGTTGCTTAAAAATAGAACACTTACAGTCAGTTGCACAAACGTCCATTAAGGTTTGATGATGTCTTTAAGTTCTAATGGACGGCAAATTTGTATGGTTAATGTCGCTTTAAAATAATATCAATTTTAATAGACATTTGTGCAACTGGATATTAATTATATACCCCTTATCTGGGCTTTCAGAAGATCAGATGTTTCACATAGATTTATATCACAATATAGATTTAGATATTACTTTAAAAAAATATTACATTCATTTAATGATAATCGTGTTTTTGCTGGTAAATTTTATCTACGAACTGACATACAGAATGAGTATATCGTGTTTCTAAAAAATAAATTACGAAAAGTGAATAATAAAAAGAAATTATCTTAAAGATAAATAGTTTGGATGCGGAAACCTAGGACAACATAAATGGCCTGGTACCTACCACTCAACGTTATACTTTTTATATAGAGTTTTGTTTGTAATAAATAATTACAAACAAAATTTTTATTAACCTGATTGAATCTTATTTTCTGCCGGTAATCTTTCTAAAATAAATTTAGAAAACTACATTACCTTTCCGCTTCTCCAGATCATGTAAGGGCATTCTGTTCAATTCAGTCAAAATTAACTTAGATTTAAGGAAATCTAGAATTCGTAATTTTAATATATATCTTGCGAAAGTCCCTATTTATTGAATGTGTGTGTGGTGTGGTTTGGCGTGTAGCGTGCGGCGTGGCGCGGCGTGGCCGCGTTGTTGGTGGCGTGGCGGCGTCGCCGGGCGAGATGCCGTGGGTGGCGGCGCTGCTGCGTGACGGACGCGTCGTGTGCGGCGCCACCGTGGTCGCCAGGGACCACCTCATCACCGCCACACACTGCGTCTATGAGTAAGTACTAGTGCACATCGGTCACACGCGCCGCCTCCACGGTGGACTATGCTTATCGTATTTCTCTTCCTACAAAAAATCAGTCAATTGTTTTGGAATTACCATTCCTGATTAAAATCATTTAAATTTAAGACGGCCACATCAATATAAGACATAAAAGTAAGTTTACACTATCTGCTGATAATTTAAATTATACCTACATACATTTCCGTACATTATTAAGCTACCTAGCAGTAATTGCTATCTAGCAATAAGACCACCTATTGCACACACACACAATATGTGTCTGTGTATAAGATTTTGTCTCTTTTTATATATATTGTGCAATAAATAATATTTTTTATTATTATTATGAAAAGTACAGAATAAGTAAAACAAACATTTTTTAAAAACGAAAGTGTTTATATTTGTTTTAATGAATATACGTAGACCTCCGTAGCCGATCCTCAATAAAATCGAAACACATAAGTGGATATACTATCAATTTTTTGAGGTAGGTGCCGGCCGTGCAAGTGAGTAAGAAGTAAAACAGTGCTATCAGAAAATCTGTTTTTCTCCATTTTCTCTTACCTCCTTCCCTTACGTCTTACGTGATATTTTCCTTGAAAAATCTCAAGCCGACCTCAAAATTAGTTAATTTAACAAAAAGAGGATCATTTCAATCCAATTTCTAATTTACGAGAAATAAATTGTGAATCATATAGATGCATACATACATATTCAATCAAAATTACATACATGTAGGTCAAATTGATTACCTTTTTCTTTTAAGGTCGGTCATAAACGTACAGGTCAAATTGAAAACCTCTTTTTATGCCGCTAATATGACGTACATACTCAGGTAAACTGACAGCCTCCTTTTTTTGAAGTTGGTTAAAAAGCACGTGGTCTTTTTAACTCCTTTATAAGATGGTTAATTTTTTACTAGTTTTATAAGTAGCTTAAATTATAATGGGATATATCTTTAAAACTACGGAACCGATTTTGATGAAACTTGTAGTGTACCCTAAGTTGAAAGCTAAATTCGACGCCTAATTTGCAAGATATTCGTGGACAAACATACAGACACACATCTATAAAATTTTGCACACTTGTTTAGAAGCCCATACAGACTAACATACATACATATATGAATATTACGCTATTCCAACGAAATTACATACATACACCTCGAAATGATAACCTCCTTTCTTGAAGTCGGTTTAAAAGTAGGAGTTAAAAGATTTAACCAAAACATATTCTAGTCAGTTTTAGTAAACTACGTCTTTATTTAACAATAATATCTTACCAAAGTGGAGACAAAATGTTTTAAATGAGAAAACAAATAGATATTGACGTTTTAAAATATGTACAAGTTATAAGTGAAACGATATTGGTTTGATGCAAATATTTTCATAATCCACAACCTCACCGTGTACAGGCTACGCTGCACGCACGCTAGATATCTTTCAGTATTCTATTTGTCAAGAACTTCATGTATCTCTAGCTTTACTATTATAACTTCACTGACATAGGTAGAGTTGGGTTATTTGTGACTTGCATTTCATAGCCATATGTTTCTGAACGTGCCACTTGTAGGACAATATGAAGATGGATAATCGAAGATGATCTCCTGGCCTCTTCGCTATAGTCTGTCTATCCATATCTCTAACCCCAGATGCATGGCTCTTACGTCAGTGATAGCAATAATATTATTATTAGTTATTTAATAATTCCTCCGAGGTTTCTCCATTTTGTACCCATCGCGGTTTCTTTAATACTGATATTAATGTTATAGATGAAACTACAAAATGAAATACTTAATAAACTTGATATTCAAGACCGATTTCACTAACCAATCTACCCAACAGCTTAGCGACACTGTCAAGTGTCTCAACTTTTCGAATTGTTCTATAACACTTCGTATAATTTATTGGGAGTAAATAATGTTGAGGTGGTTAGTTCATTGTTTTATTTTCATGTAGCAATTGTAATTATTTATATAACAGCGCTCTACTGTGACAGTCCACTGGAACATATGGATGTAGAGACCCTCCGGGCGGGACCAAACCGTACCCTGTAGCACACTCCTGTAGCTTGCCAGATTCAGAATAACACTACTCATACAAAAGTATACGTGTATAAAGTACAGCCAGGGCCGGCCGACTCATTTTAATATAACCGTCGCATACGTGCGTAAGACGTGCGTTGTATGCAACTATTACTTTAAAGGTCGTATCAGACAGCAGCTATCTCCAACCAACCTATGACTGACGGACAACGTTACTGACCGACTCTTGTTGTTGTAATAATATGTATTACAAGTTTAACATACGAAATGTCAAACGTAATGAAATTAATAAACCAATACATACATTTTACACGTTAATATTACATACAAAACAAGCTTCTTTATTATACAGTGTCGTTATAGAGGTCAAGTAAAGTGTTAATAAAATAAATAAAATGTGATCGTGACACGATATAACAGTGTTACAGTTGAAGGCAGCTAAGAATATGACTACAAGTGAATCTCACGAGTCTCACGTTCAACATAATTATTATTTTCCCGCGCTTATCTTATAATATGAAAATATAAATATCCACAAATGAAACTTATAGGAAATAACTGAACATTTTTTCGGAAAGAAATCTACATAACGAAGCTCTGTTACGCTTCAAAGAAAAACAAAGAAACAAAATTTCCCATTAGGTATATTATAATGTTATTGGCAGTTTCAAATATTACGAGTATTTAACTAATTATGCTTTACATCGTAAAGAGTTTATTTGGTTTATATATAGATAGTAAGACAGACTGTCTGCGTGTGTCGGATATGAATTGGTTACCATCTACACATCTATACCGCTGTTGCTCATGCAAACAATGTAATTAAATTTAATGACAATGTCATCTGTTGTTCAGGACATGTATGTATGTATGTATGTTGTAGTAAATACGCTAGTGATATTAAATAAGCGAAAGTACAACGTAGAGTCCATACACATCCATACATCTGTTACATAGCATTTACTTGTAAGATTTTAATTTTCATAATCTCTCACCTAGAGGACATTTGTATAAATATTGGTGTGTTCTCATGAATATGAAATTGTTTGCCAAACCGATTATTACAGGCTTTAAGCTGAGCGCAAACAATGGTATGTTTAAATTTTACTTGGGCGATCGTTGATCGGCGAAAGTTTATAATTATGTATACTCAGATGGGTGCGTGTTAATAATATACAAAATATATGAAACTTTTACGACCGTCGTTCGGTGCAAACGTTCACTGGAATATATGTATTTTTGCTGTATATGTGAATGTAAACATTTATTTATTTGAACTCTTCGATCGGAATCCAGGGGTCTTTGAATTGTTATTCTGTGATAAAAGGCCAATCTTACATTTCGAATTCAAAATAATAATAACAACTAAAGTTTCTTTGTAATCTTTGCAAAAGCCGTAAGTTCAGGCCGTATAGGCAAAATATCGACAAAAAAATTTTTCCTATGGTTTTCTAATCGTTACTTGAGAATATTTACGAAGATTTATTATTTATTGGTAGATGGACCCGCGTGACGGGGCGTATTATGGCCCAGCGTACGCTTTATCGTGATTGGTAGCAACTAGTTTTTTTTTTTATCGCGCATATGAATGGTAGAATATGGACGAACACAATACTAAAATTTTGTCAGGGTGCAGGTAGTGTGTGTGTGTGTGTGTGTGTGTGTGTGTGACGTTTAAAAGATTAGATCATTAGACGACCTTTCTACGACGACATCGCCGTTTATACATAGTACATATAATTTCACCGGTTTAACATCTGTGTTTCCTTTATTGTTTTTAACTTCTAAACATTCCAGTGTTATAAGTATTAGTTTTGACCATGAACACATATAGACCTACATACATAAATTGTTATTCCATTGAAGTAACACTTTAATGCATAACGAATGGACGCGTAAGTACATCGTAAAATATAAACCTAGTTCCACATAGACACCATTGCGTATCTAATCACCACTGGTGTTCGGTTTGATACTTAAAATTAGTAGGACATAGTATAGGATATTGTAATCTTTTAACAAACGTAATTTGTTTCACCTAACCGTACATTCTTACTTTAATTCGTTGTAAACTAATTATAAGCCACCGACTAGGTATTTTCTTGAACGACGTATTTAATTATGCCAATTCCCTTGCTGTCTTATGTATAAGTTAGTTTATATCCAGTTTTCGGCCGCGTTTTTGCTCGTGTAGATTACGATCATGATTTTCAAATAGCTATTTTTAATTTTTCAAGAATCTTTCTCTGCTCAGTTTCATGCAGTAGTTAAAGTCACCTTTGACTTGGAAGATTCATTTACAATTATGAAAAATAAAATAACTCAAAATAGAAAGAACCTATTAGTGTTGCGCACACGATGAATGCTTCCTAAGCTGCATCCGAAACGAGACGAGAGTGATCTTGATCTCATTAGCGCGACCGACCTTGTTGGTTGTAACATCGTTTCAGTGCACGATCCTCAGTACTAGAATACAAAAAGTGACGTAGGGTACATAGCAATGATGTCATTTATGTTCCACCATTTTTAATCAATCCATAATGAAATTACGCGTTTAATGGGGAAATGGTGCATTTATTAACTAGAAAAACATATGGTTTTGTTTAAAAAATACACCAACACAACAGTAAATGTATTAAATATATTAAATACAGTGCTTTAATATAAACCTGATGCATACATACGCGTTTAGGTTACATTATCATCGAACCTATTGAAAATCAAAACATATACCTACTTAATTAAAAAAAAAATTGGCAACAAATTTTTACAGTAGTCGCAATAAAATAATGCACTTTATAAATTGTGAGGAATCATACTAAAAAAATCTCAGTAAAAAAGTACTCATTCCAAGAGTTGCGCATACAGGTCAAGAGAAAGTGAAATGAAATTCGCGGCCGCTCAATGAGATGAATAAAATAAAGACAGGTGATGGCGTTTTGTGCCAATTAGACCGGCGACATTATTAAACTATTAAAACAATTAAAAATTAAACTTTTAACTTTGAGAAAATCATATTAAGACTGTATGTCACAATAAAATGTTCAATGCCATCGATAGTAGTAATTTCTGAAATTTATCTTATAAATTAATTCATAAACTACTGACTACTGAAGGGGTAGCGGACACCGAATCTTGCAACTGGTTTTGTACAAAAAAATAACGCCCAAATCAGCTGTAATAAAAAATGAGAAAATCATATTTCTAGTGATAAATATGTGAGTAATTTTGTAGCCGAGCGACTGCCATCTGCAAATCTTTCTGCAAGGAGATACATAGGTAGGAAAATGTTTTGTGTTTATGACCAGTACCTCTGGTGCGCGTTTTTCTTTAAAAACTATAAAATTGTGTTCGCATCGAATAACTCAATAGAACATGAACGAATAATCGTGTTCAGCTACTAGGCTGAACGTTGAATGGCGCCATTTAATTAAACTTGGCTATGCTGTGACATTTACATAAACCTATTTAACAAAGCTATCGCTTTAATAAAAAGTTAATGCATTTCGCCTTCATAAATGAATAATTTGTTTCTTAGATTACACTTTGTGTTTGTGTAATACATTACAATCGTTTGATATATAAATAGATAACAATATACAGTGTCTGTGAAATACAAAAGCACATTATCACCTGTAGATTGATTTGATTACAACAGTATATTATGGTGCGCATGCCTAAAGTATAGTACATCACTATATATATATGTATTATAGTACGGTTGGCAACCCTAGTGTGGAGGTGTCGCGGCTCGGCGTGTTGGTGGGCGAGCTCGACGTGAACAGCACCCGGGCGCGCGCGCTGCACGTGTCGCACGTGACGCAGCACCCGGACTTCAACCGGTACAACTACGACAACGACATCGCGGTCCTGCGCCTCGAGGAGCCGCTACCAGATGCCCTGTACAGAGCCGCCTGCTTACCAGGTCCAGCTGTTCATCTATTTCGACTAGTGCTATTTCAGAAACTAATTACATAAATCAGTAGTAGTAATAAATAAACTCTCATAAAAATCCACTTTGTCCCGGCTACTCTAAGATAGAGGTTTTTAAGCATTTTTCATTAAGCATATTTTCCAGTATAGCATTGTGAATGCGAAATTGATATAATATAATAAGTATTTATAGTTGTATAGCAATAAAAACTTGCACATAATTAAAATAAAGTATTAACGGAATAGAAAAATGTTTAGCTAAAATTATAATTTATTCGTATTATTACTAGAGTTCACTCATAGATAACCATGAAATAGCAATCGATGACGAATAAAAAACTTATTATTTGACGAATATAAACATTATCCACAGATGATGAAGAAAATCTTAGCGGTTCCGATGCTGTTGTCTCTGGCTGGGGAAGCACGGTGGAAAAGGGTCCCGAATCAAATATTCTCATGAAGGCAAGAATAAATATTGAAGTTGATATACCAATAGGAAATATCAATTGTTTACATCGCCACACTTGTGTCAGCTCAACACTATTTTACTACTTACCGTTACTTTAAATTTAGTCTCCACATCACCTAAACGTTGATTAGCAGATAACATCCAAGGCTTTGTACGATAGTGCATAAAGCAATAAATAAATAAGATTCCAGGTTTCTCAAGGATAATATTCGATTAAGCCTCATTTAAAAGACGGAGAGTGCATTACAAAAATGTCCCAGAACTTTCTAAAGCTCGATATCACATAAATAAACTTCTAGTGGTTGCAGAATGTTTGTTTCATTAAATGAAAGTCTGGTCATATTTTAATTATTTAGTAAAAAAAAATAACTTTCAAACATTACGTGTTTTTTTTTTCGGAACTCATTTTCACAGCGACTTCTTAATTCCGCTGAGGGTCGCGTTACGCGATTGTGTGTCTGGTCTGAGCAGCTTAGTCTACTTTCTCGTATTTATAATAAGTTTTTCGCTAATTTTAAACTTCAAAGAGCTATTTATGTGTATTACGATTTTTCGTATTTTACATTACCCCCCGCCATCAGGTGTTCCAGCACCTGACCTGCACACCCCAGGAGGGCGAGGAGTGGTACTGAGCTTTGGAAAACTCTTGGACATTTTTGACAAGATCTCGTGGACTATAATAAAATACAACTACACAGGGATTGTGCTGTCAATAATACCTAACTATTGAGGAATAGGCGAGAGGCACAAGGGGGGATTCTGGAAGATTAACATTAAACTCTCCCCCATTTTCTATAAACGCTAGAGAAATTATGCCTCAAATCAGGATTCCATCCAGCCACTAAGCGCTACCCGAAAGTTAATGTCAAAGGTCAAAGCGTGGCTGACATAACTGATAAAACCTGCTGCGGAGTACCCTTATTGGGGGGGCTGGAAGGATCCGATAAGGACGGTTTCGGACGCAACCCCACAAAATTTAACTAAATACTAAACCTGCGACTGAGATAATTATTTTGCAAAAAAAGATTCCTATATATTCATATAATATTGTGTTGGTGAATGAAACAGACGACTGTTCAAATTTGGAGCGAAGAAGAGTGTTCGGGCGCTGGTTACGGGCGCAGCAAGGTGACGCCGCGCATGCTGTGCGCCAACGCGGCCGGCCGGGACGCGTGCACCGGCGACTCCGGGGGACCGCTGCTCCTCTCACAACCTCACTACACTATAGTCGGTCAGTTGATGTTAATCATATTTGACTACACTAGATCATTTGAAACTCGATGGCGCAGTGCGTTAGACCGTTTGATCTTTCTATTCAAAAGGTCATCGAATCGGGTGGGTGATTAAAAATTGCGAGCGCCTCCATTCTTCTAAAAGCACTTTCAGTTAACGGTTTCAGCTACGTATACATTCATAAGCACCTTCCAATCCTCATTTTTATAGGCCGATGATGACGAGATAGTTTCACCTTCGTGCGATACCTTCACGTTATTTACATAATTAGGTCATTCTAGCGCAACATTTGCTCGTTCGATCGTTACGAATTAGGAGAATGGCATATACCATAATTTTACAATACAACTAAATAAATTAAATGTGTTTTGATATTTTTCTGGAAACGCCCATATACATATATGTTACTTGGCAGACACGACAGCCATTGGTGAGCTTCTTACTAATTCTTCTCAATGCAAACTCTCCAGCCGGAACTGTGGCGAGCCAATAGCGTAGTATTTAGACTTTCACAAGTCTTGATAATAACCTAGATTGGATAATACCTACGTACTCAAATGATACCGAAAATGAGTTTCCAACAATGTGAAAGTTATACATATATTATACGTATTAAACCGATAAAAGTATGTGCTCGTTATCAGAGATGGGCAAAATGTTAAACTTGTTCTGCTTTGAGGATTACGCGAGTCAATTTCAACAATCGAGATTGTTTCCTAACTTCCATGGACATTTTCTTTTTACTTAGTCGTACGTGGTCGTATTACTTAAATAATTATTTTGGCCACTGAAATTGGCGAACTACCGAAACTGATTTTTTGTATCGAAATTGTATTGGTGTCACGGAAATTGTGTAGCCCACAGAAACTATAAAATCGTTAAATAAATAAGAAAAACAAAACTAATAATAAGTTAAGCCTCGGATTACACGCTATGTGATAGGTGCTAGATTTAGTAAGAAAGTTATTACGTGGTAGGATTTGCTGGTGATGCATAGGCACGTGTGTTGTTGATTGTAAGATTAAATGAATGGACTAATGTAAGTCAAAGTATTTATTCAAATAAACTTATAAAAAGGACTAATAAATCGTCCAATTTACATCCCACTATTCAGGACGTCTTTTGAGAGACGTGGGAGAGCCACGCTTCGGCATGAATGGGCCGGCTCGACCGGAATGATACCACGGCCTCACAGAAAACCGACGTGAAGCAACGCTTGCGTTGTGTTTCGTCATGTGAGTGAGGGTACCGGATGCCCAACCCCTCCCTATTCCCTTCCCTCTAGCCCTCAACCCTTCCCTCTAAGGCCGGCAGCGCACTTGTAGCCCCTCTGGTGTTGCAGGTGTCCATGGGCGACGGTAATCACTTACCATCAGGTGATCCGTCTGCTCGTCTGACCCCTATCCCATAAAAAAAAAAAAAAAACTTAAAAGAAGGAAGGAAACTTACCAGGCTTAACCGAAGTAACGCCTTTTACAAAAACCATTACCAGATCAATATTAACATTGTTAATAAATAGCAAACTTAATAATTTTGATATATATTAAGTATTAAAGAAATCGCTTGTCAAAATGGCTGGAACACCTCCAGTCCATGCATTTTTATCTGCTATATAATCGGCCACCTTATAATAAGCTTTAAATATAGGTACTTGTTGTATACTGCGTGAGACTTTATTGTAAAAACCACACACGAAGGCCCCGAATGGATTATTAACTTTTTTAATACTATCTTTTACTATTTTTTTATAATCCTAATGGAGGCAGAGTGACCAAAAGTGTTACCAGTTTTTGGTCACTCTGCCTCCACTTGGTGGGTAAGCAGTTTAGGCCTTAAAGTAATGGACACTACAAAATGTAGAATGATAGTAAGTGTATCGTTGGTGCTGCAGGCGTGGTGTCGTGGGGCCGCGGGTGCGCGCGGCGCGGCTACCCGGGCGTGTACTCGCGCGTGGACCGGTTCCTGCCCTGGCTGCGGGTCGCGCTGCGGCACGCCTGCACCTGCACGCCGCCCGCCTGATACAACCACGCTATTCATTACATTTATATTTAAGCTTTAATGAAGCCAGTTATAAAAACGTGTCTGTACAAAATCCTACATACTAAGGCAACTATTTTAATGACATATTTTCTAAGTTGTATTGTGATCATTCTAAATACAACAATGTGAAAGGTACACACAGCAACATATCAGGACAAATTACTGTAATAAGTTTTAACGATTTTAATGTTCTGTAATCGATTGTACTGTCAATTCGACTTACCAAAAGAGTTTTAGTTAAGAGCTTTGTTGTACATTGAACAATTATTTTACTTTTTATTTATAAAGTAAATAATATACACATACGTAGAGATATTTAAAATTAAATAATGAAATGAGGCTCGAACACGTTTATCAGTATTATTAATTATTATTAGAATGTAATTAAAATAAACGTTTGTAGATTACATTGATTATAGGTACAGTAGGTAGATATTGTTAGTTATTTTAAGCATGTTACTTCCTATTTAGAAACGATGGCTGTGAAATGTTAAAAATTGAAAAATCGTTATGTAGGATACTTACCCAATTAATTTAATTCAATAAACAATTTTATTTTAGTCATATTATGCATAATCTATTGTAACTAGGCTGTCGCCTCTGATTTCTTAGTTTGTATTATGTTACATTTACTTTTATATGTTAACTACTTTAAAGAATATTATAAGTGATTTTTTTTCACATCCAAAATGCAATTTTGTCTAAAGCATACAACAGACGAATAACATGTCATAATATTTCACCATAAGATATCTTTAAAAACATATTTTTTTAAAGGCGGATCTAGATTTGGCGCCACGGGGGGGGGGGGGGGGTGTTCACGTAGTTAATCACAATGATCAAGTCATAAAAAGTTAATTTTTGAAGTAGTTAAATAAAATCTATATTGGAACATAAATTATATAAAAACATTACGTATAACAATTTAATTAGAAGTCCACCGAGGTCCAGTCCAGTCATAGACCCTGCCCAGGCGGGAGTCATGACCCCGTGACCACCCCCCTGGATCTGCCCTTGATATTTTAACATCTTAAGTTATATATTTTTACACGGATAAAATTACGATAATATAAATGCTATAGTATTTCGTATTTTAAGATACCATCTGAACCTATAGAATATAGTATGCCTAGCCGTGTGTACTGGGTCATTGGAATGTAGGGTGTAGGGTGATGTAGATGCTATATTATGATATCTAAAGATATCATAATATAGCATCTTATCCGTCTATTACGACCGAGAATCTAAGCCAGTCTTAATTTGATGGTTTTTTTTATTATAAGTTATTGTATGTCAAAAATGGGCACTATGACCTTGAATGAAAAATATATTAGTGTAGGTAACTACTTATAATAGCTAAATAAGATAGATAATAGCTACCTATATAGCTAAATAAAAATATATTATAAAACAACTGTCTTTAATATTTTCACATTTACTTCATTCGATCTTGTTAAAATCCAAGAACCTTGTATATTAGTATGAGCTTGCAGTTTGATACGGGCTCTTCTGCGCCGCTCGTACATTTATTTTCTATCTTCTTTTCACTTCTTTTGTTTGTTATGGATAAGGTTGCTTAAAGCTCGAGTTGAATTAAAAAGTAATATGTCCTTTAAAGATGTGAAAATTTAACGTTAATAGAGATTATAGCCGTAGCCGTTTATGCCGCAAGAAACGCATATTTGGCCACTCATAAGTAGTACATACATCTGGAAATATTGCTACTGCCTCTTTTCCATTCCATTCCACATTGGGAAAATCACCGAAAATTCACAGTACATTTTCAGTGTTACTTTATACATTTATTTTACTAAACTTTAGAGTTCGAGGAGCTTTGAACAGCAAAACCAGTACATATTGTTACGGAACGCAGCGGCGCGGTTCGTCTACGCATTACTAGATGGCGTTATGCGCCAATGAATCGCGCTACGTTACTTAATTCTTTTTTATTATTTTTTTTTTACATGATAAAAATATCACATTAATATTTCGAGAAAGTTTACTGTATCTATCAATTTATCCATAAAAATCATTTAAAATTCCGAAAACGCGCGAAAAACGCTGTTTTTGTTATATGCCGCCATTATGCCACTTATGACGTCACATGCAAATAATTAAATTAAAGTCATATTAACTAGTGTGCGACGTCATCGGAATGAGGAAATATTTTAAGAAAAAAAAAAGAGACCACTAAAAAGCACCTCACTAGATGGCGACTCTAGCAAAAATTGATTTTTGCAGGAAACGAATGGACCAAGATAGTCATTTCCGTTCCTTTTAACAAACATATTTAAAAAACTGAAATTTGCAAAGTTCGAAACTTAGATATCACTACAAATACGAAAATAGGTATACAAATCGAATATGAGTTGTTTATTGAGTTTTGTTAAATTAATTTACTTTTATACATGAAAGAAAACCGGCAGGGTTGACATGGAGAAAGTAAGAAAGTACTGTAATGTTTTTTAAATACTTCCTCATTGCAACCACTTACTAGTAGAGTTGTTCAAAGCGACTAAAATACATTAAGACACTGAGACTAAATGCTAAGACAAATTAGCGTGTTAATTAATGCTTCAATTTATTAACGCACTAAGTACACAATGAAAAGGGTGCGCGAAATGTATGCATTAAATCAAGCAGTACACTAACAGTTAGCTGCACAAACGTCCATTAAAATTTTCATTAGTTTAAAGGGACATGACCCATACAAATTTGACATTCATTAGAGCTTAAAAGTGTCATTAAACCTTAATGGACGTTTGTGCAACTGACCGTAAATCTCGTAGCACGTTATTTATGTCATGTCGATCTTTGAACTGAGCGCGTGCTATAGTAAACAATTTATATAAATTATATTTATTTTAGTAATTTTATTCTAATATAGGTACATATGAAATAAAAGTAAATAAAGTATGTACCTAACATATAAAATAAAAGTAAATGAAATATGTACTTTGATTTGTTATATACACGTAATACAATTTTACACCCTTCATATTTTTTTTATATTTATAAAAATTATCATCTTTATCATAAAAATGTACTTATCACAATTAATCATATCAAAAATATATTTAAATTTATATTTTTTTACAATTGAAACTTATGAATTTTTTTATATAACATAAAGTTTTATTTTACTCACATAATCGCAATTTTATCTTAACAATTTATAATATCAACTAACTAAACTATGTGAATAATACACAAATATATTCAACATGCTACGTTTTTAATAGATTTCATTTTGTGAAGCATACGAAAAAGAAATGTTTGTAAATAAGCATGCTAGTTAATAGAACGCCGGTTTATTTGAAGCTTTATTTGAATACAGATCCATTCACGCATATAATAGATTGCAATAGCGAATTCTGTCAAAACTACAGGTCCAGTTATATCTGAACCTGTTTCGTGCAAACAAACAATGAAATCTTTCTTTTTTAATTATGATAGTTTTGATGAAATAAAAATGGAGATAAAAACCAATAATCTAAAATTTGAATGAATATGATAAACAATGAATATCATTATCCAAAAATTACTAGTCAAATCTTATTTGACTTCAAGAATATTTTTTTTATTTTTTATTACTTCCTCATTAGTGGAAACACATTATAACATAAGAAGACTAACTAAGCTGTATGGACCAGATTATATTGCTGTTATTAAAAAAAACACAACCTCCCGCGAAAATTTGACATTTGACGTTTAAAAATGCTACTTTTCTTTGTGCATTGACTATCCCAATTCCCAGCTGATTTGCAAAAGATCGAAAATATTCATTCAAATAATGTACTTAAACGTAATAAAAATTAAATTCCTTTAAGAAGTTCAGAGAAGACAATATGAATTTCTCTGATAATGAAGCTGTAAGTACCTACCATTTATCAAATTTAAGTGGTAAACATTTCCCTAAGTACTAAAAGCGCAGTGTTTAAAATATTTAAATTGAATTAAAATAAAACGAGATACAAGTAATAATATTCTGATTAGTAACGAAAGATTACAGGAATATGGTTTATGATAATATTTAAAATAATAGATAACCTATTATTTTCTCATAGGACGACACGTCTAGTGTGGAAAGCACATCAAATACCGATAACACATCCCGCAGCGAGACACCAACAAATTCACGAATTAAAAAGAGGCGACGTGGAAAGAAGAAAACAACAAAAGCCGTGAAACCACCTTACAAATTCAAGTTAGTTCCCAATCCATTAACTCACTTAGGCTAAGAACGCACTGCGTTTAAACACACAGTTTAGCTATAGCTGTAAATGTATACTTTGTTTCTCACATTTCCTATCTGCTAATGGGTTCACTAATATAGAAGGCTTTGTGAATGCATAGATTCAAACTTATGATTAATCACAACTACGAAAATGAAATTTTAAAATTTCAGTTTACTAGCATTTGTGATAATATATAATCTAAGCATTTATGACTGTTATGGAAATGTAAAGCATTGTTACAATTAAAAATAAAATTTACTTTAAACTTATTCTTATTACAATGTGCTTATTTTAATGTGACTAAAGTCATAAATGAAATGAAAATATCTTTATTCAAGTAGGCTATTACAAGCACTTTTGAATCGTCCAAAAAACTTTTTTCCCCTACCACTTGTTCAGGACGTCTTTTAGCTGACAAGAAGAACAAGCGAAAGAAACTTATCAGCTTTTTATCATAAGTAATGACATTTACATAAATCATGTCATTACCAAAATAATATGTATTATCAATTTATCACAATAGTAAATACTACTTTCAAAGTCTGTAGGACATAAGTTGAACATATAATTAGTCTTTATAGAACAAAGCGAAGGCTATTAATTCCATGCATTGCGATCCTTAAAATAATCATCAACTTTATAATAGCCTTTACTCACAAGTATATTCTTTACATGAATTTGAAATTTATTTATGGGTAGGTCAATTACATTTTGTGGAACTTTATTGAACATAGCAATACATTTACCCAGAAATGATCCTCTGGTTTTTTGAAGTCTGAAGCTTGGAACGGTAAGTTTATCTTTATTTCTTGTGTTAAGATTATGAACACTCCTTTTTTTTGTGAAGGAATCATAATGTTTTCTTGTGTACATAATATTCTCATAGATGTATTGAGAGGCAACAGTCAGAATATTTATTTCTATACTAACTTCTTATTTAAAATAAGTCTTTTTTATGAGCTTTTTTCCCATATATCTGTAATAATTATGTATAGTATATAAATTAAAACTATGGTTCATAATTATCAAGATATATATATTTTTTTGTTACTATCATATGTTTGTATGATGAGAGAGTCGGCCTTTTAATGAAATAGTGAAGTACCTCTAGGTTCTTATTCAATACATTAGCCAATCAGTTAAAATGTATGCTAACACACTATTGTTTCTCAAAAGTTGCCTAATGTATCATATCTTTTTTATCACACTGTGCCATTCTTTATTTTTTTATGTTATCAATATGCATACCTATGTGAAAACTTTTAAATGGCCTTCTACTTCAAATTCAAAGCTGTAAGTTTCTTTAAAATAAATAAAATAAAATTACATTCAATTATTATTTTTCATCTAAGGATAATGCACTACTTGACAACTCTTTTTATTTTATAAATAAAATAACTTTTAATATCTGAAAACTAATGTAGAAGTAACAGCATGTCTGCAATGAATACTTTCAGAGATTCAGTGCTAGTAGTATGTACAACTGGTGAACAATGACGATATTACATTTTGCTAAGAGTTTTACTGTTGGAAATCGAAATGATCTGAAGGTGCTTACTTTCAGGTTTGCTCTGTGCTATTTCTAAGTTTGTACTTGTTCTAGTGCAGTTATCCAAATGCTGGCACTAAAAATTATAACTATATATATATATATATAAGCCCATATGAAATATTTTTTTTAACAAAATAAGTTTTAAAGATGTATTTTGAATGCCCATATTATTTAATAAGAAGTATTGATATTCAAGCTGTATCAAAAGCTTAAGCAAATTAAAATTATTAACCATCACAAAAATTTACAATGATACATGATTACAATTCAATATAAAACCATCAGGAACAAAATGTCCATCTTTAAAAAAAACTCATTCTAAAAACAGCCACTGTTAATTAATATTATATTCCAGTTGTAGTGCTAAAGAAGATCACGGTCAACCTTTGTTCGGATGCCAGTTCAACCACCACCTTGGAGAAGGTGAACCACAAATATTTGCTGTTGTTGGCAGCAACCGAGTATCCATATATGAATGCCCAGAAGCAGGAGGTTTCAAATTTTTGCAATGTTATGCTGACCCTGATGTAAGTAAACCATTATCTATAACATACAGTAGAGACTTGATTCACTAGAATCGTGGCTATAATTGTCCTACTATAGAATCATGGCTTTATCACAATAGGGTTACCTCATAATTAAAAATACTGAGGGAAAATTTATGTTTATAATTTTTTTGGCATTATCTCAGTTAGCATTTTAGGAAGTTTCAAATCTGTGTCTGATTTGATTACATAATTTCAAAGAGAGTTGGGCAAACAAAATTGTGGATAATGAACTGATTAGATGACAATTGTCATTCAGTATAGAAAACAAATTCCTTATTATGTTATAGCAGTCATCAAACCATGTGAATGGTCACAGCTCTGGTAGTAGCTTACAATGCTTCCAAAACTTGTGTTTAAAATTATAGCAAATGGCACATAGTGTATAAAACATTATCAATATATTAAGCTTATGTTGTATTTCGAACCGATTGAAGTCATAGTACTTTAATGAATGTTAAAGCGCTTATTAACATAGGATGTAAAATTAATAAATTAATTTGGTTTGAAAAATAAATTAATCAAGTCTGATCTGTTAGTATGTGTAAAATAGTTCTGAAATTTGTAACACTAATGATAATGGTCTGAAATACTTAAATCATAACTAATAATAATACACTTTTATGCACAAGACACAGACAGAAAAAGTACAGTATGATAATACCAGGTACAAAAAAACTTCAAATTGAGAATATAAATTATTTTTAATAAAATAGAGGTCTTAACCGATACAGTAACAGATGTTTCAGAAAATTTATCATAAGTACTAGTTTTCTCACATAAGGCCACGCCACAGGGTCGGATGGCGCGGGAGGACCAAAACTCGCAGCGTTCATTTATGTATTTTTAGGATTACCGATAGGCTAAATACTGAAATATAGGAAATAATCTATCACAACGGAACGCGCCGAAGGAAGCGAAAGAAACGAATTTTAGAAGTCTCACAAAATATATCGGAAATGCCATCACTTCTGTTAGAGTCGGTGACTTTCTCGCTCGTTCTTCTCATCGATCAACGCACGTCCCGAACGATCGAAACGAAATCGAACGAAAAGTGGGTACGGTGCAGTTTGATTGGATTTTGGATTTGAAGTTTTTAATAATAGGGTTTAAAGTATGAAATAGCCGTTTTATTGTAATAGGTTCCTTGAATCGACATAGAATCTTCACGGTTTAAGGTTTTCGAAAGAAACTTTTTTCACATGGTTTCTATGATGTTCTTTTATCGAGTTCATTTAAGTAAACATTATTTCAACTCCGACTTCGCACACCGTCATGAGCCGAACGGTCGGAACCGAATCCTCGGTCGGGTGCGAGGTGTGAAGAGAACTCGAAACGTTCGCCTCCCCGGCTCGGATCGATCTCCTGTCGATTCTAGTCGGGACGGGTCGTGCGTGTAGTGAGGGGGGGTTGTGTGCGACAGACGGACGAGACGTTCTACACGTGCGCGTGGTCGTACGAGGAGGACAGCGGGCTGCCGCTGCTGGCGGTGGCGGGGTCGCGCGGGATCGTGCGCGTGTTCCACCCCGCCAGCAACGCCTGCATCAAGCACTACGTGGGCCACGGGCACGCCATCAACGAGCTCAAGTTCCACCCGCGCGACCCCAACCTGCTGCTCTCCGCCAGCAAGGACCACGCGCTGCGCCTGTGGAACATCGCCACCGACGTCTGCATCGCCATCTTCGGCGGCGTCGAGGGCCACCGCGACGAGGTGCTCAGCGCCGACTTCGACCTCGACGGCCACAGGATCATGTCCTGCGGCATGGACCACTCGCTCAAGCTCTGGCGGCTGGACAAGCCCTCGATGAACGAGGCGATCAAGCAGAGCTACAGTTTCAATCCCCACCGGGCGCTGCGGCCCTTCAACTCGTTGAAGGAACACTTTCCCGATTTCTCGACTCGCGACATTCACCGAAACTACGTGGACTGCGTGAGGTGGATGGGGGATCTCATTCTATCGAAGGTGCGATTGGCCATTTTGAAATGCGATCGTAACTTTTAAACCTATTAAATAAAAGGAGATTCGCGGTTTGACCTGTGTATATGTGTGTATGTTCGTGCACGATTATCTCGCGTTTGGCCGTATCGATTTTCAGAAAAATATTTTTAGTGTTACTTAAACATGATATAAAACTTGAAACTTGAAAAAAAAAAGAACCGACTTCAAACTTAAAAAGTAAAAAATAATACTCATCTCAGAAGCGACTTATTAAAAAACGCTATCGAATGAGTCGCTTCTGAGATGAGTATAGTGTCTCTCGTCGGTCGCAGTCGTGCGAGAACGCCATAATCTGCTGGAAGCCCGGGCGGCTGGAGGAGGCGGAGCCGCGGCCCGGCGACGGGTCGGTGACGGTGGTGCACCGGTTCGACTACAAGGAGTGCGAGATCTGGTTCATCCGGTTCGCGGTGGACTACAGCCAGCGGCTCATCGCGCTCGGCAACCAGTGCGGCAAGACGCTCGTGTGGGAGCTGCGCGGCGCGGCGGGCGGCGCCCGGGCCTCCGCGCTGCTGCACCCGCGCTGCGTGGCCGCCGTCAGGCAGGTGCGTACACGCGCGGCGACAAGTGCGCCAACGCGCTCGGCAACCAGTGCGGCAAGACGCTCGTGTGCGTGGCCGCCGTCAGGCAGGTGCGTACACGCGCGGCGACAAGTGCGCCAACGCGCTCGGCAACCAGTGCGGCAAGACGCTCGTGTGCGTGGCCGCCGTCAGGCAGGTGCGTACACGCGCGGCGACAAGTGCGCCAACGCGCTCGGCAACCAGTGCGGCAAGACGCTCGTGTGCGTGGCCGCCGTCAGGCAGGTGCGTACACGCGCGGCGACAAGTGCGCCAACGCGCTCGGCAACCAGTGCGGCAAGACGCTCGTGTGCGTGGCCGCCGTCAGGCAGGTGCGTACACGCGCGGCGACAAGTGCGCCAACGCGCTCGGCAACCAGTGCGGCAACGCGCTCGTGTGGGAGCTGCGCGGCGCGTTCACACCCATTCATTTGCATTGATTAGCTCTGGCCACTTTCACTTTCACTCATCAGTTGTTCGCGGTAGAGTTCAGTCGCAGATGGTCCTGTCTGGCGATAGCAGCTCATAATGATTAATGCCCTTCCGATCCCCCCATACAAACAGTATCACGTTAATCCGGGTATGACTGCAGTCTGTGAAGCCTGACCGACCTTTGACCACGACCTTTTACCACGACCTTTTTCACACGTTCTCGTCGGACGTGATCCACATTTCGTCACCAGTTTTCAGCTTCTTCAAAAATAAAGAATCACAAATGAGTACACGATTCAGTGCACTCGTGAGGTCTGCAAATGTGTACCCTAAATATTTTTTTCAAATGCGCTTTGACTGTTTTATGGTCAGTCCCCAGTTGTTAGTTGTATTTTTATCCGTGACAAGGCGACTGGAGCGACGTCCGACTTTGACATCAAAATTTCCGGACTGAAAATGCTTAAACCACATTTATGCTGCTCTCACAGAATCTGCACTAGATCCATAAATGTCACAATTTTTCTCCCGGCCCGCGTTGCATTGTTACCTTTTTTGTAATAACATTTTAAAATGTATCAAAGTTCTATTAGATTCACTCATTTTGATAGTAGGGAAAAAAAGAACATCACACATTTTCCTAATTCGAATTCGGAGTTATACCAAAATTTCTTTAAAATTTAGGATAGGACTAGACGCTAATTAAATATGAATTTTACAATTTTGTTATATGATTTACTTCATTATTATTAAAATTGTGATTAAAAATTTCTAGGCCGATTTTATAAAAAAAAAAACTTTCATATAAGGAAAGTTACTTCATACACGGTTGGTGCTGTCGTTTGTTTTATTAACAAGATAGATTACATTGTTAACATCATTATTTTTATTTATATGGCCTACAATTAATTCGTCTTCAAAAATACGGAAAAGAACAATGGTCAAAATGGACTACGAAAAAAAAGTTCTTGTACCAAGATGGAACTATCACCAAAATGTAGTATAAGTTGAATGTAATTATTATATACCAACAATTTATTTTTAAAAGCTGGGAAAAGAAAGATAATCCTCTGTAAAATATGTCTTTATTTTTTAGAACGCAGTTAAAATTATGTTATTTTTGAACGCATCTTATTAATAATGTCATTCCTAGAGAAGTCCCTCTCTTTTCAAAGAACGAGATCGATTTTATTTCTGACTAATCGAATTTATTACAAATCTTATATTATTTACTAACCATTTAAATCCGTGAAAATTATAAAACTTACATTAGATTACTTATATAATTAGATGTTACTTAGAGGAAAATAGTTTATTTATAATGAAATTAAAAACAAATGATTATTCATAAGAATCGATATTACAGTATTCAATCGATTGCGACCTCCCTTTTTTTAGACAAGTATGTGTAGACGTGTTTCTACGCAGACCGTTTTGTAACTTTAGCGGTGATTTTGTATTATCTTCTGTATTATGGGGAAGCATACTAGGTTCCATGGGCAGTATAGAATTGAGGTCTGGAGAGAAATACCGGATTTTCTGGATTTATTAGAATTAGACTTAAATATAAATAAATTCCTAATTATAACGGGTAGAATTAAGTCGAGACATTGGGAGGAAATAATATTATGTGTACTTATTGGTCGATGTACACTGGGATGCTGTGCTCATGTGATGACCATAGTTTGGTATCTTGGATGGGCCAGACACGAACAGAATGTAGCTGCTCCTGCAGCATTCCGTGATGAGGTATTCATTAGAGTTGTAATAAAGAAAAGAAAAATCAACATGTTGTTTTGCTATACCTTTTTGAAATTAGTATTTTCACTACTACTTTATATAAGTTATAGTGTAAGATAGAAAAGTAGAGTTACTGAGAGCAATCTTAAAAATTCTAGTATTTGATGATCATTGGTTCACAAAAAATGATTTTATTTCTTACAGTAAATAAAAATAATTTATCAGATATGGAGCAAGTTTGAAGTATTATGGGAAAGTATTCACTTCTAGTACTAGGATTAGGCTTTATCTGACGTTTGCTTTACATATTTCAACTGTAATACCTCTAGCTCAAAATGCTACAGTTTAAATAATACGACATAACCTCAAAAACATATTACACAATTACTCGATACTCCCAGCTTTTAAAAATATATTTAACGTCTTACATTGTTCTAGTTGCATAGACAAACAAAATAACATATGTTTCATCAAGTTACGTTTTATTAGATTTTACTAGTCCAAGCATGTTAGGCAGTTGGCCATTGTTCTTTACGGAACAGCAAAGAGATTCTGTAAAAAATCTGAACCCGAATTGGAATTCACTCAAGAGTCCTAATTTACGTCATTTTGTGTAGAAATTATCTTGATTCCATTTTTGTATGAAAATACAAAACAAAATTGATTGATTCATACGTGTCCATTGTCAATTCTATACTTACTTCACTTATACCACGAAACGTTATTACCAATTCAAGGTTGAGCGGATGCCGCTAGCGAAGTGAATTCTAATTCGGGTTCGGATTTTTACAGAAATTTTGTAATAATAATTGTTCGCCTATTTTTATATCAAAATAAAGCTTTTTTTTAGATTATATTAAAAAATGCTTACTGGGAAAACATCGAATTTTTATTACAATAAAAAAATTTAACTAATTTCCAAGAAAAGCAACTACTATATGTACACAAATAAACAATATTTATTTATTACACAATCCATATAATGATGACTGTCATCGATTTTGATTTTTACCTTATAGTAGACTAAATGATTTTTTCGATAAGTCATATAGTTTTCAAGATATTTAATTTTTAAGTTGGCGCACGATTCGAGGTCGCCGGTCTCTGCTGTGACGTCACTAGCAATCGGACGCGAAGATTTTTTGTAGGACAAATACTGTCTATTTGTCCTACAAAAAATCTTCACTTTCTGGAAAGTCAGGGAAGGTAAAGATGGTCAGGGAAAGTCAGGGAAAAAATTTAGGTCAACTGTGAAGTCAAGGAAAAATATAAATCTTTCCCTTTCTTTCTTTTTTCTCTTAATCCCCTCTCAGAGTAACGTTTACAAAATAGATTTTTTAAGCATATATCATTATAAATATCTTCTAGTATAGCATTGTGAAAACAAAAGTTAAAAAATATAATATATACAAATCTTTGTTAAATTTTAATTATTACTATGATTTTAAAGCTCTTAAATTGATCATGAATGTTTTTATATTGTGTTGGTGGTTTTTATTTAAAAATATAGGATTCAAACTGCATATTTGGCTTGTCTTATAATTCGGAGTGCAACAGTTTTTTTTAGGCACTATATACTGGGTGGAACAGAACGACCGACACTCCCGCGGTTCCTGAAGAGTACTATTTGTCTTTAATATGATGTAAAAAAAATTATATGTCTAGGTCAAATAGATATTAAATCACAAAGTTTTTAGAAAAAAATGAGTGTTTTCAACCCTGAGTCAGCTGTTTTTGGGACGTACTAAGGAACAAGTTTTTAATCGGTCATTGACTTCTTCATTTCTAAACACGAAATAAACTAGTTTACGATTTATAAGACCGCTTTCATGCAAATTCTACCAGACAATCACTTAACAAGGCAGTCAAAATGCTTAAATCGATTGACAGACTGACAGCCGGTTACTGATTTGAAAAAAGTAGAAAATCTCTACTGCTTATTCTCAATAACCTACGTTTTTTTTTAGTCAAATAGCCCTAGTTTTATCAAACTGCTATCAACTGATCATCAAAAAACTAATCGCAAACGAAAACTAAGTAATGTTAGTTAACGTACGTACGTTAAGCGTACCTGGCCTGGGTTGATGCTCGACACCGCAAGGCAAATGACATACGTGAGAGGAAACGAAAATTTAACAGCGCTGCCAAGCCCTGCAAGAAGGTGTTACGGAGGGCTCGCTTCAACCATATCAGCCGAATAGGGGCCAAACTGGCTTCGTATCCTTCGGGGAGTAAAGCGTTCTGGTCCCTAGCTAAATCGGTTGAGGCAAACTTCTGCCGCCCCTCACTGCCGCCGCTGCTGAAACCTAATGGTACACTGGCCCACACCACTGAAGAGAAAGCAAACTTGTTTGCATCTCTGCGGAAAGTTCGCGTCTTGATGCTGGTGGCGCTAAACCTCCATCTCAACCACCAGGTGGTCCGACGAAAATCTCGTAAACTAGCATTCGCCAGACGGAGGTTCGAAGAACGCTGCGTAATCTTGACGTGAATAAAGCCAGTGGACCTGATGGTATCCCAGCCATAGTTTTAAAGACCTGTGCACCTGAGTTGTCTTCCATCCTGACACGCCTGTTTAGAATCTCTAGCAACTGGTACTATGCCGAAATCGTGGAAGCTTGCTAATGTACAGCCCGTGCCCAAAAAGGGCAGTCGTGCTAACCCTGCCAACTACAGACCCATATCTGTCACCTCTATACTCTGCAAGAGCATGGAGCGTATCCTAAACCGCAGGCTCTTGGTGTTCCTAGAATCCAATGATTTCCTTAGTGACCGTCAATACGGATTTCGTCAAAATCGGTCCACGGGAGATCTAGTGTACGCCATAAATATCTGTAGTGAGGCCATCGAGAAATACGGGGAGGCACTAGCTGTTTCCCTGGACATCTCTAAAGCATTCGACAGTGTTTGGCATGACGGCCTTATTAGCAAGCTTCCATCGTTTGGACTGCCACCTAGCTTATGTGACTGGATATCGGACTTCTTGAGGGACAGATCCCTACGAGTGGTCGTTGACGGCTACTCGTCGGACCAAATGGCCATTAATGCCGGTGTTCCTCAGAGATCCGTGCTCTCTACGACCTTATTTTTGCTGCATATAAACGATCTGTTGAAACCCGGTATCTTTGGGTATGCAGACGACAGCACCGTCATGGAGTAATTAATGTATTTCGCGGTCTGTTGTTATCTGCGCACAATCGATATTGCGCATGCGCGTTATAGGGCTCTCAACACTTAGAAATTTAAAATTTTTACTCCATTTTTACACCTTCTCTATTTTGAAATATTTGTCAAATAAAATGAACATTTAAATATAACCTAACTTGAAACTTTCGGCTGTGTCGGTCATTTTGTTGCTCCCTGTATGAATGTAGTAGAAATCTATAACTGTGATATTAGGTGCCAACTTAACATTTATTTTGAATGGCGGTCCATTCAAGGCTTGTGATTGCTTTTAATTTTCTTCAACAACAATGCAACAATTTGATAAGACCCGGTAAAACTGGTACTTTTTCTTAGTTTAATATCATGCGATCAGTCTACATTTTTTTTATTGAAATTGACGTTCAGTCTACGCTGTGTTTTCCATGTCCGGTGTTTTGCACTTCACTTGGACTAGATGCCAAAATAGCAGTATAATTAGCGAAAGTAGCCACGATTATTTCCACTGTCTCTGATAAATCAGACGTAAAGATGATGTACAGGATCGACCCAAGGACCGAATCGGCGCTCCAGCTTAAATTTCATGAAAAGTTGATTTCAGTGCTCGTGTCAGAAAAACTGCGGAGTTCCTTCCGCTCAAACGTGCCTCCAATAGGGAATATGCGTCTGATTCAAAAAAGGGTTAAATATATTTTATTACAATCGTTATTGCTTTAGAATAAAGTATATCTAAATATTTTTCAACATTAGTTCGTTTTCATCTTGAAAATAATTATTAAAAAGTGCAAAATAAACGCGGTAACTTCAAAATATTTAAACGCCATGCTACTTGTCAAAGCGGATGTGACGAAAATGTACACGTATAGGGATGTCGTTATTACAAAAAGTTAACATCGATGCGATAACATCAATGTATTATGTCGCAAAATAACAACTTATTACAATTTAAATGATGTTATAGGCTTTTATTTTTATTTCACCAATATGGTAAATTATATGATTTATTAAAAAAGTCTATTATACTTTAAAAAAACGATTAGTCGTTAATCGATTAGGGTAATTGAATAATAATCAATCACTCAAAATCCATATTGATTTAAAATGTCATATCTCTAGTCGTGTACTTTGACGTCACGACGAGCGCGCCAAAAATTCAGGTGTTAAACTGCTCTTATTTTCATCAATTATTAATGTTTCAAAATTTTAGTTTTTCGGTGCCGGGTATTTTTTTACAGTTATATATCGATGTAAATTATCATATAAAAACATTTTCCAAAATATGCATATTCCCTATTAATTTGCACACTTTATGGGCTTGTCCCTTAGAGAAGTGTTCCATTCTAAAACCAAATTGGTGATCTGGAATAATTCCCTTGTGTGTGAGCTTGTTGAGCTTTGGTTTCGGTAGTGTTATTTTTTAAGTTTCGATATTAATATCAGTAGACTGATGGATCGGTAAGGCGTTAACGTTTATGTAGTGGTTTACTAGATTTTGCTATTATAATGATCTATGATACTTTCATAATGATGGTAAGTATCCGACTCTCGTGACAGTATTGAACAATATAACTTCGGTGGGTCTAAATAAATGATTGCAAATGCATCCACCTTTTCCTGTAGAGAATGAGCCCATTTATTATTTTGCAAGCATACTGTATGCTTTGGTGTATTTGGCCATAGCTCATGCCGTATTTTTAATTTGAATAAATGTGTTTCTTGCATCTTTAATATCATCACTAGTTTTAAGTTTGATTAGAAAATCTAGTTCATTCTCTTTGATTTCCCACTATTGATACCAATCAGTGCCTTTGTTGTATAGTGTGGGGGACTTGAGTTTTTCAGTATGGTGATACTAATTGTTAATATAACAGGAGTATGATTCGTAGTTCGTTCAGGCATCATTCTATTTAGGCTGAAAAAGGCTTGAAAGTCTATTTTTGTCAAAACTTTTTTGAAAACTTCTGATAATAATCAATCACTTTCCGACCCCCATTGAGTGTGATTGAATTCATTCTCCATTGGCAATAAATCTATTTCCCTGTGATCTCAGGTAGGTGCTGAACTGGCCTTTATTTATCTTGGGTTATGGTGGAAAGTAAACAGAGGAGAAGTCGGTGTCACCGAGCTTGCTTTGGACTGTTACGGTCGTTGCCTGATAGCTTCAGTGTTAAAGTGAAGTGATTCTTGGTGTTTAAGATTTACACCAGTCCCACCATGTGCTGTGCATCGGGGTGTTTGGTATTAAAGATGGAATATTTCTTATCCTTCTAAGATTTTTATTTGTGAAATGAGTTTCAGATACTAGTAGAATCTTGAGGTTTTGTAACTGCAGCAGGGTCTTAATTTGCTTTTGTAGGAAGATGTTCCACGTTTCCGTATATAAGGACATAAAGATAGTTTTTGGACTACAGTAGTTATGAGACTTTGTAGAATACTCATTTCTTATCTTCTGAAAATGTTCACATTGGTTTTGAAGCGAAACTACAAAAAAGCAACAGTATACTAAAAATTATCAACGACTATTTAATCATGATTCAATGTCTAAATCGGAACGAGAATTTAAATTTGTTGTTCTAAATTTGTTAAAATTTTTGTTTTTAGGAAATTTAGAATAAGCGACATATAAAAAAATAGCGGGTGGTTGAGAGAAAGAATGTATCTAAAAAAATAGTTAATGTGCTATGATTGGTGTAGCTGTCATTAGATAGTAGTACCTGAAACATTTTGCAATAAAATGTGTTAGTTTTAGAGGACGTTATTGCTCAGGGAGATTTTGTCAAATGGTCAGGGAATTATTTTTGACATTTAGAGTGGACACCCTGATAGAATTATGAGTTCCATATTGCCTATTGAAAATAATTTTCTTTTTAACATGAAAGAAAAGTTTTACTTTTTTACGGAAGCGTTGTCATGGAGAAATCAAGAAAGTACCGTAGCGTCATCTAGTTTGATTTCGGGAAATATATTTTTTTTAATGCTTCCTCATTGCTAGTATTACATTCATCTAATTTTAAACGAAATCCAGAACCTGACATATTGTCGGCGGCCTACCGCTTCACGTGAAATGCCCTATAGTGAGTTGGCCGCTGTTGTACAGGTGACGCTGTCGCGCAACGGGCGCGTGTTGGTCACGTGCTGCGACGACGGCACCGTCTGGCGCTGGGACCGCGCGCACTGACGCGCCACTGGCGGCCACTGGCGGCCACTAGCGGCCACTGGATACCACTGGCGGCCACTGGCGGCCGCACGCGTGCAGTAACTCCGCGTCGGTACATCGACGAGCCATGCTAGATAACGACGCCGGTTCTAGGTATTTTTTTTACTACATTCATTTTATACTATAACTAGCTGCTACTTGCGCCTGCGGCTTCGCCCGCGTGGTCCTGTACGGTGGCGTAGCTACAGGGTGGTGAGTCGGCAAAATGTCACGGGCCCCCAGCTGGAAGGGGTACACGATGAATTTGTCACGTGTCTATAGTTACGTCACTGCTCTTGTATTATACATATAAATAATCCTTTTGAATCACTTGATGGAAAACCACATTAATATCCGTTGTGTAGTTAAAAGATCTTAACGTATACCAAAAATATATATATAAAAAACTATGCTATGATAACAGCAATCGATACCCAAATAAACAGTTCCCTAGGCATCACGCGGACGAAGCCGCTGGCGGAAAGCTAGTGTAAGATAAACATTGTTGCAGTGATGGGACATATTGATGTTTTTTTAATTTTACATAGAAATAATAAAGCCAATCAAAAATTTGAATGTTACATATACACATTACAAATGTGTGCGTGACTGTGGAGTAGGGTTGCCAGATATTTGTTCAGCTCGTAAGGAACAAATGCTTAAATAGGGAAAAAATACAAGACTCCTATTTTTTATCCGAGATAAATAAAAAAAAAATATTTTCTCGTGTCTTTTCTAAATATTGTTTAAAATCACGCATGTCTAAATGCACGCATGATTTCACATATTTAAACAATAAAATTATAATCTTACTTAAATATGGAAATTTATTTCATTGACATTTATACAATTATTTCTTATATCTGTCCATTTTTAATAACATTTCAAAAATTTATATACGGGACAGATTCTGTCCCGGCAGCACATTTGAATTTATACCTGAAATACGGGACGTCTGGCAACACTACTATAGAGGCACTAGTGTATTATTACTTAAATGATTATATGTGTAATATCATACTGTGTAGTGTGTTTGACTATATTGTACTAGCCTTTTGATCTAAGGCAATGCCCAAAGGCGGGCCTCTTCTCGCTCATATAATGTAATTAGACCGCGCGTACCTCAAGATGGCGCCGGGAACTCGAGCATAGTCGCTGGGCCTTCACGATAATAGCCTAATTGACTATACTGAATATTAATTATTATATTTCTGGTACTTGAAACTCAATGGAATGACGAATATAATTCACTAAAATTATTTTGTAATTTAATAAGTGGAACGACTAATTTGTTGTTTAAGTTAAGCATTTTTCTGTATGAATAGAACCACAATGAATAAAAGACTGATTTAGTCAAATTTTATGATATCGTTTCAATAATATCCCTTAAAATTAAGTTATATATGTATAAAATAGGGTATTTGTCTACAGTTGAAACTCGGAGGCTTAATGTAGTAAGCACGCATGGGACGTTTTGAATAAAAATGTCTAATGGTGTTAAATGCGTTTTACTTAATAAACAATAAAAGTATTTTTATACAATTCATAACGACGCGTTTAGAAATTTTAATGAACGACGAAAACGCCCTGCGTTCGATTGTCGTCGCAACCAATAACAGATGTGACGTCACACGTAAACAGGAAGCTGTCCGAACAGTGTTATATTAGATATACGCAAAATTGTATTCATACATACAATTTATAGCTCATTTTTATAAACGAAACCAGAGCAAATACAAAAACAAAACATAAAATTTAACTTCAATTTCTCTTCTGTGATAATATTTATTTCGTAAATAAATCGTTGTTAACCCATTTGGATCCGCTGTCCCTGTACAGGGACAGTGAATTAACTACCCACAACATTTTTATTATTTTAGTTAAACATTCATTTCGGATGCATTTCTAATCCTGAGTAGTGTACCTTTTCGTGTTTATTGTATTTATGGGATAAAATTAATGAAAACTTGTTTAAATTTGTTGTTGTGTTAGTGGAAATTTCGGCTAGGATATATACCTAAAGGTAAGCAGTTTTATTTTTTATGTATATATAATAGCTTATGATGTGTTCATGTTATTATAAGTTTGTACATTTATTTAAACAGTAAGGAGGTCTTATAAGATGATTAAGTTATTTTTCTTGTTTTTTGACAGAAATTATTTAGGTGTCCCTGTATAGGGACAATGGTAACATCGCATACATTTTACTGAACACATAATATTTTTAATTTTAGGTACTATATTGAAATAAACAATGGCCAAACGCGCCATTTTAATGCAAGAAATGATTATCAAGGACTGGAAGAAGCATTAGAAAACATTTTGGCTGAAGATGAAGACCCTGATGTCAGTTATGATTTGGTAGCTATCCCTCCAAATTCAAGTGTCCTAACAGATGAAGAAGAAGGTGACGAGGATAACATACAGCAGAATATACTCCCGCTTGATATACCCGGTAGGGTGGAAGTTTTTGTGTCTCAGCGGGACGATGAGTGGGATAGTAGTGATGATGAACCATTACAAAAACTGGTTAGAAAACGAACAGATAACGAACCTCGATGGCGCAAATGTGACAGTTTTTATGAGAATGTTGGTTCAGTCAATAATAATGTTGAGATGCGCAGGGAAAGACTTATAACTGATCTGAAGGATCTGAGTGCAGTCCAAATATTTGAGAAAATATTTGATGAGGAGGTAATGAACATGAATAACCATCACGATTTCGATGTAACAGTCGAAGGACTCAAAAAGTTCTTTGGAATCATAATTCTCACGGGTTACCATACACTTCCAAGAGAACGGCTATACTGGTCATTGGACGAAGACTGCAGTGTTCCCATTGTTTCAAGAACAATGTCAAAGAATAGGTTTATAGAAATAAAGAAATTTCTACATTTCTGTGACAATGAAGCTGCTGCAGAATCCACAGATAAAATGTTCAAGGTAAGACCACTTGCTGATATGCTCATCAAGAAGTTTTTACAGTGGGGCTTAGTACATGAATTACTATCTGTGGATGAATCCATGATAAAATATTTTGGACGTCATCCATCGAAACAATTTATAAAAGGCAAACCGGTACGATTCGGTTACAAAAACTGGATGATTGCTAGTGCTGATGGTTACTGTTATGGTTTCGACATATACTGCGGGAAATCAACGTTGGCAACCGGAAATGAACCCTTGGGATCGAGAGTGGTCAAGTTGTTGCTAAACAAAATTCAAGTCAAATCAAATCAAATCAAAAATCAAGCCGTACCCAATGAGCAAATAGTTTATTTCGATAACTATTTCACCAGTTTTGGATTGCTGAAAGAACTTCGTGAGGCTGGATTTCGAGCAACAGGGACGATACGCGAAAACCGGACAAAACGGACAAAGTGCCCTTTGGCATCGGTCAAAGATATGAAAAAAAGAAAGCGAGCAGATTATGACTACCGTTTTGACGTTGTCAATAAAATTCTATTTGTACGATGGCTTGATAACAGCGTCTGCACAATGGGCACCAATTTTGACAGTGTTCTCCCTTTGGGAAAAGTAAAGCGATGGGATACTACGGAAAAGAAAAAGTTAGACATGAATATACCACACGTTTTCCAAAATTACAACAAAGGGATGGGAGGTGTAGATCAAGCTGACCAGGCTGTCGCTGTGTATAGATCAGCTATTCGGGGCAAAAAATGGTGGAGGGTGATCTTCTCCTACATGTTAGATTTAGCTGTTGCTAATGCCTGGCGTCTTCATATTTTGGCCCATGAAGAGAAGATTGATCAGCTTCAGTTCCGTCGCACTATCCCGCGGTTTTATTTGAAAACTGATGGACGTCAGGATCGTCGGCGTAAACCTCATCAGTCGTACGTGATGTAGCTACTGATGGAGTTGGACATTTTCCCCTAAGATTGCAAAACCAATAGCATTTTGTAATTTGCCACAAAAAAAGTACGATGGCAATGTAAAAAATGTATAAAAACATTATGCATCGAAAACAGTGAATGTTTCGAGAAATACCACACTTAAGCCCATTGTCACAGTATAGGGACAGTATTTTTTTTTATACTTACGATAAAAAAATAATAATTCATGTTATATTTTCTACATTTGTATCCTGCATGTATAATAATAAAAAAATATGATTGTTTGTATTTGGGTCCAAATGGGTTAAATAGACTATGTCGCCTTGATAGATTTACCAGCATGTGACGTCACAAATACCACGTTATCAGCGCCATTAAATAGAGCCCCGGTTTTTTTTTTGCGCGATTTTGGCTATTTAAACTAACGATTATTTTCATCCGATTATTATATCATTATCCGATTATATAACAGATACGAACGCTTGGACTTGAGATGATCCAGCAACTGGATAGGTGATTACTTCTAAACTCATTATCTTGTTTCCATTATTATTAAATGATTATGTTATCATTATAAGACCATAGCTTTTTTTTTCTATCTCTGTTTATGTATTGATCTGGTGATGACATGGTTTTTGTAAATGTCATTACTCCCATTGGAGCTGGTGAGTTTGTTGCTCGTTCTTCTTATCAGCCAAAAGACGTCCTGAACTAGCGGTAGGGAAAAAAACTGTTGGACGATTCAAAAGTACTCTTAAGAAGTCTATTTGAATAAAGATTATTTTGACTTTTGACATCGAAAATTGAACAGATCCTCATGAAATATATTGACAGTGTGTTAAATCTGCTTTTTTAAATGACATAATATATGTCATTTACCCATATAATATGTTGTAATAGATGGCGTACCTTTGACTTTTTGAATCGCGGTGTTATGATTGTTTGTCAAAGACATATATAGTTTTTCTAATGTAAATATATTATCCTCGACCTTATTACTTGTTTCATTCAGTTTGAACCTTTTTTTGGGACTTTAACATGGTCCATCGAGCCGGATATTAGCAGCGACAATAGTTTTGTAATGCGACACAGTGTGTTTATAATGTATCAAAGAACCATTTAAAATAGTTTTCAGAAAAGCGTCAATTACCCTATAATGAGAACTAAAAAAGGTCGGCTAGTACTGCATGGTTTAGGGCGGACAAGCGTGCAAACTCGCCTCTGCCCGCACAAGTTAACTGCTGCGAAGTTATTCTGTAGGGTCGTGATCCAGCTCGAGTCGAACTACGTTGACTAGGCAGCTATAAATTTAAAGAAAGTGGAGGTGCAATGCAATAAAAACCAAATATTTTATCACAAATTTATTATGACCAACGGCTACTACAATAACAGAATGAATCACAGGGGCCAAGGTGTTATCTCGTGTTCGCTACTTGCACGGAACGTACAATACATACAATATGCTGTTCTAATCGGGTGTTTAATATAAGGTACTCGAGTATCCTAAAGCTAAACATCCACATCGACTCCGCGTACAAGTCCTGCGCGGTGCCGCTACACTAATCCGACACGACACATCTAACATCGTAAGTACTAACAACATCCATGACAGCATAATTTAATTTTACTCAATTTTCATTTAATAATTTCAGTCTTTAAAATTGTATAATTAAAACGAGTAATAAAAAATGAGCTACGCTATAACTAATATACACAATTAATTGTAACATCAACATGAGATCTTATGGTACAATTGACAGCACATCCACCTCCATGGCCGAGGGTAAATAACAACCTATTTCTTTAAAAAAAAAAAAAAAAAAATCTCTCTATCCAGCGTTTAATATAAATCATTTATGGGATTACATTTGTAATGTCCAGGTACCTAATAATGAATATTAATATCTGTTAATTATTTAAAAAGGCAACCAATACATACATACGATGACTTACCGATTAATCAAAGTTATAATTAATAGAACATTCGAAATAGAACACTCGGCTCTGTAGCTGCTTAATACGATCATTCATACGGAATTTCTAATTTATAAGCACTGGATATCAGGCTATTAGAATTTTATTAATTATAATTATTAAAGACTGGACATACACTAGTCAGACTTAATACAGACCTATACTAACGAGGTCTGGCAGGCATGTCTGCAGACTTGTCCGCGGGCCTGTCTAGTGAATTCCCCGCTTAACATAAATTATGACGATGTAGTACAAGTAACGATATAAATATTAAACATTATACATACGTTATATGTTTGTTACTCTTTCACGTTTTATTTCCAATTGTACCCCCAAATATTGAATTGTTTATACGCGCGTTTATTACCTAACTAGCTTCCGCCAGCGGCTCCGGCTGCGTGGTCCCTAATGAACTGTTTAATTAACGGGATAAAAAGTAATCTATATGTTAATTCAGGCTTAGAATAGTAGTTTTTTGCATGAAAGAGCAATAAATTTACATACGTCGTCACACAGTGCCGATTATGATATTAG